TTTCCTTTCTGAACCTCCCCAACAGACTTATTAGTTTTTTTTAAATGAACTAGATTGTCCTACAACATAAAGTTCCTAAAATGCCATAAGAACGAGAATTCTGAATTGATCAACATTCTGAATGGATCAATCTTCTATTTTATTTTCTACTTGTTTCTGAATTGCCTGAATTTCTGTTATGTGATAGAAAATTTAAAATATAACTAGTGAAATGTTTTTATTTTTTTGGGTACCGGGGATTGAACTCAGGTCTTTGTGCTTGCAAGGCAGGCCACCGAACCGCTGAGCTAAATCCCTGGCCCAATGCTTTTGTTTTTTTGCTTTATAACTAGTGAAATGAAATGTACATCTTGTACATCTGTCATTTGTTTTGTCATACAGATGGGGCAACAAAGGTACAGCCCTAGTAGAAGTAACTATTTAGCTCTGAGCAGCACAGAGTTAAGTGTACCATTGATTGAAACCCATGAAAATAGATAAACATAAGTATTGTTAAATTTAGTGAACTCAAAGGTATTTTTAAAAATCTGCTTCATCCTAAAAAGCAATGAAGGCCTTCATGATAGTCCCATGGCCCAACTTCAGGCAATGAAGAGGCTCTGTAGAGAAGAGATACTGGTAGCAAGCTGTTGCTTTGTTAAGCAGCATATTTTAATGGTTTGCCTCTTCCCTGCTATTGTCCTTATCTTCTATGTTCTCCCTTGTGGCCCTGGCAGAACATCTCTTTTACTTTACTTTAGCCAAAAACTAAATAAACATAAAGTGTGAATTGGGTTGCAAGCAAAGGAATTCTTGTTAACTACCTTCCTTACTGCCTTTAGAGAAGTTAGTGGTGAGGAAAGCAGAGGACATCAAGATTCTAGTTTCCTCTTTAAACCTCCACATCTCCTTCAGTCTAAATTTCTGGCAGAAAAATTAAGCCATTTTAGGCTTAGTTGGGTTGTTCCCTAGGTAGTCCTTTTACTGCATTATCCCAATTTCAGAGGGGATGGATAATACCACTAGATGGCCAGGGATTTAGCTTAGTGGGTCTGCACCTGTTTTGCAAGCGCAAGGTACCGAGTTCAATCCCCAGTCAGTGAGGGGGGGTATACCATTATTAAAATGTATGTGAAGACAGTTTGTTTAATTTCCATTCAAATTTTGGCTAGTTTAAAACAACAGGAAAGGAGCACAGTTAGTGCAGGATAACTTAAAGCTGTGGAGGGCTAGTGGCTCAGTTTCACCTCAAGATTTAGTGACCACTTTGCAGGGCTCATTTGTGTGCACTGGCAAGATGCTGCAGTATTTCCTTTCTTTCGGGATTGCATTTCCACCACTTGGTGCAATTAGCACTTCAGCTTCAGATTGCTTTCCTCTGGTATTGCTGTCTCTTTCCACTCCGCTCAATTCTTTGAGCTGAGTTAGAATTCCTCTTTGAATATTCTTTTGCTACTCTGATTCATCCTCAATTGTTCCTTTGAATTACTCTCTGAATTTCTTATGCACTGTAGGAGAGGCACAGAGACTGATCCCTTCCCTTGGAAAGGAATTTCATTTGCCCTCCATCCTAATGATGACACTGTGCACTGAATGAACATAGATCATTTTAGTCAATGAGCATATGCAATCTTCATCATGTTCTGTTTCACATGCAAGGCCTACTCTTCTATGGGCTCTTAAGCCTTACTTGCAGGCGTATAAAATCTCAATGCTCCATATAATGTCCCCTAGTGACTTCTAGGAGATTCTGGAGGTTACATTACTTGTCATGAGGATCATGAGGACTTGTATTTTTGTTTTGTTTTTGCTATAGCCTTTTTATTAAGGTGCCTGGTAATTGCCTTGGTGCAGTTATTTTCTCTACAAGTGCTCCTGCACTCCTGGCCATGTGAGATCTTCCCAGGGAATGATACCTTTGGCTTCTGTCCTTTGATTTTGAAAACCAGTGCTCAGGGCAGGAAGCCGTCAAATAGGGACAATGGGGTTTGCTTCTTCTTTCCTAGTGTCTTTATGTTCTGCCTTGTGGTTCTAGCACAAAGTCTATCTCATTTTAACCAAAAACCAAATGAACATAAAATCCCTCAAAAACCTTAGAAAATCAGATTACAAAAATGTGTTCCCAAAATGATCACCAGGTTAACAGCTCTCCAAGTAGTAATATTCAAACAGAAAACTGGCAACATTAAGTCTCACAATACATTTAAATATACAAGGACTGATACAAACTTACAGTATGTTTAAAAAACTATTAGAGCAAAAGAAACATTCCATTACCTCCCCCCAAATACTCCCTGCTTTGTGATGCACTTATTCCAAAATATTACAAAAAACAAAAACCACTTTGTATTGTCCTTGTCTCTTTCGGAAGCAATTCTGGAATTCTTCCTTTGTGAGTGTCTTCACAAGAAGTGGTAGAAGATAGAGTGAATACTGCCTCCAAGTGCCAAAGGCAGGCTTACAAAAGCAATACAGTATATCAACAGCTTTTTTTTTTTTTTTTTTTTTTTTTTTTTTTTTTTTTTTTTTTTTTTTTTTTTTTTTTTTTTTTTTTTTTTTTTTTTTTTTTTTTTTTTTTTTTTTTTTTTTTTTTTTTTTTTTTTTTTTTTTTTTTTTTTTTTTTTTTTTTTTTTTTTTTTTTTTTTTTTTTTTTTTTTTTTTTTTTTTTTTTTTTTTTTTTTACCAGATCTGGCACTGTGGGACTTTTGGTTTTTTTCCCCCAAAGTCAAAATGACCATGGAAGGTAAGCATTTGAATTAATTTAAGACCTTGAAGCTAATAACAGTACAACTAGACACGAATGAGACTTTTAGTATAATAAATTTTTAAAAACTTCACCATACATATTTCTTGAACATACCTCATAAATACCATTTTTCAAGAGGAGGTAAAAATGTGTCTCAAATACTGCTCATATAAAATATTTTCAAATAAACACATAATGAACCCATTTAAATAGTAACTAGAGGCAACAATTTTGAAGTATTTTATTTAAATACTGAAATAATTCATCTTTTAAAATATATTTTTATTTTTAATTGGCATGTGGTAATGGGGGTGCAGTGTGACATTTCAGTACACATGCAGGATACAGAATGATCAGATCAGGGAAATGACATACATATTGCCCTAGGCAATTACCATTTCTTTTTATTGGGAAGATTTAAAATTCTCTTTACTAGCTATTATGAAACATCCAATTAATTAAGTCATAGATCCTAGTTTGGAATAAACATTAAAGTTATTCTTTCTATTTAACTGTACTCCTGTCCCTGTTATCTAGTCTCTCATCTTCTTATAGTAGGTGAGGGCAAGGAGATTAAAAGGCCTTCCCAAGGTCAGGACACAGTTTATCAGATGAGGATGAGAAAAGCTTGCAGTTTTGCTGACTGCTTTGCAAAGCTGGATTCTGGAGCTTAGCTTATGATGCACATGCCTGCTACTGCTGCCTTTATTGTCTTAAGAATTATAATCTCTTTAAACCTCTGGAGAAGGGAGAGGGGTGATGTCTAATTTCTAGGCTGATCTTCAAATACTTTTTCCTAAATGGTGCATATAAGTAAGACTGACAAATCATTTTGTAGATAAGGGAAGAATCTTAGTTAACAGCTTACAAACAATTTAACTGGGTGATTTGGGCCAGATTTATAGTGCAAATATTTCTCTTCCTAGCTCTATAATACCAATTACATCTATTTAGTTTGTTTGGTTTGTCTTCAAGGCTTCAGGGCTTTCTTACTGTCAGAAGATGGTAATAATTAAATTGATTTAAAACAGGAGAAGATAACCACAAAATGCTATAAGTGAAAAACAAGTCCAGAGCCAGAAAAACCCTTCCACAAGCTGTTCATTTTTGTCAGCCAGACTCTAGCTGGCCTGATAAATGGTAAAGGAAAAAGTTTGTAGTTGACTGAAAATGGCTTTTCTTGAATTTCTTCCTGAAGTTTTCATTTTAGAACCACTAATTCGAGCAGCATACAGACTGCACCACTTTTAGCAGCTTATAGTAATGCTGTCAAAGAATATTTGTTTAGTATTTCTCAAAGTAGGATAAGTGGTATGTCACATGACTTGCCTGCATTTTTCTCCAATCTACAGTGGAAACAATATTATCTTAATATGGTCCTTATTTAAGGCTTTGTATAGTATATTTCTCTCAGAACCTAATGTAAGTATTTCTCCAGATAAACTCATCTGGTTTCATTCAATTGACAATTTGAAATTTAAAACTTTTTCCTGTTTCTCTTTTTCTTAGCTGTTCAGATGTACAAGACTAAATTGATGAATTGTAAAAAACTTTTACTTTTCTCATCAGATGATTTCTAATTTGGGTCTCTTTTGCAATTTTAAAAATTATAGAATAATTTTTGTAAACTTTAAAGATTCATAAAACTCAGCAATATATAAAAACAACACAAATAAGCCTGAGGACATAGGTTGGTGGTAAAGTGATTGTCTAGTATGTGTGAGACCGTGGGTTTGACCCCTAGTACTACAAAGAGAAAAAAATAAAACAAAGTATAATAAAAACAAAAACCACATATATGTTTTCTATAGCTCTGTCATCCTAAGATAACTACCATCAACACTGGGGTATTTCTGGACTTTCCCCCACTTATGTAATAAGTATGTTTAAATGTAAACCAGTGCTATAGCCAGTATGTTTTGCAGATTGCTTTTCATTTAGCTATATGCCATGACCATGCCAAAAAAATATAGTCATGATTAAGGGTTGCAGACATTTCCATTTCATGGGTGTATAATCATCATTATTACTGGTTCTTATTAGTGTCTGCAGATTAGTTTTAATTTTAAAATTATAAATGTCCTCATTTAACTGTTCTTTATAGCATACCTTTAAAATTGTCTTTAAAAACTGACAACAAATGAATGAATAAAATCTTAGAACATATCCTGAATGCCTACAAGTATAATTAGCATGCATTAGCATCATTATGTGCTCTGTGTGATGTTATTTTTGAGCTAAGTAATCTTGTTCACTTGTCTAGATCTCAAGCAAAATGAGTGAAACTCCTACTAGTTGTTCCATGATTCACCCAACTTCTTCTGAAGGTCAAGTTTCTTTTCCTCGCCATTTAAGCGTCACTCATCCAGTCGTGGCCAAACGGATCAGCTTCTACAAGAGTGGAGATCCCCAATTCAGCGGAGTCAGAGTCGTGGTCAATCCTCGCTGTTTTAAGACCTTTGATGCTTTGCTGGACAACTTGTCCCGGAAGGTGCCCCTGCCTTTTGGGGTGCGGAACATCAGCACCCCTAGGGGAAGGCACAGCATCACGAGGCTGGAGGACCTGGAGGATGGCGAGTCCTACCTGTGCTCTCATAGTAAGAAGATGCAGCCAGTGGATCTGGACAAAGTGCGCAGGTGCCCGCAGCCCTGGCTCAGCAGCCGCGCCCTGAGCTCTCGTGTGCCCCGCTCTTCAGCCCGGGCTGCGGCTCCCGGCATGCCTCACCCTCCGCGGAGGCTCATGGTCTTCAGGAATGGCGACCCGAAGACGAGGCACATGGTGCTTCTCAGCAGGAAGGTCACCCAGAGCTTTGAGGCCTTTTTGCAGCACCTGACGAAGGTCATGCTGTACCCAGTGGCCAAACTGTATGCTACAGATGGAAGGAAGGTGAGCGTTCTGGGGGCTCCTCAAGGCTGAGCTCAGTTCTTGTCCACAAGAGGTAGCCATCTTGGCCCAGCTGTGTCCACCAGGACCCTTACCCAGCTGATTGTGCTTAGGGACTTGGCCGCAGCTGCAGACTTCGCTGGGGCGTGTTACATACCTTTAAATATTTCTTTAGTTATGCCAGAAGACTAGCCTTTCTTTAGCTGTGTATGGGCTTACCACACGTTTGTATTTCCAGCTTTTTGGCGTACATCATTAGTACCTAAGAAAATACTTGACGGTGATCTCTTTCTCTTTCAAGCCTTGGGGGGTTACTAAATTGATTCAATAAAGATTATAAAATCACCACATGGAAAGAACAAACTTTGCTCATGTAAGGACTATGATTCTTTGGTTTCTTCTAGGTTCCCAGTCTCCAGGCAGTAATCCTGAGCTCTGGAGCAGTGGTGGCAGCAGGAAGGGAGCCATTTAAACCAGGAAATTATGATATCCAAAAGTATTTGCTTCCTGCTAGATTACCAAGGATCTCTCATCGTGTGTACCTGAAGGGAAATGCTAAATCAGAAAATAAAAAGAGTAAGTAATTTATAAATATATAGGATTTATTTTTAGTCTTTATTGTTTTTGCCTCAGCAACAAAAAATTTATGCTTAAATAACCACTTTCATCAACACAAAGTATGAGAGGATTAAAATATCTAAAATGAAATCAGTTATAGTTGGAAATAGTCATAGGGATTATATAATGATTTTAAAAGATTTTTTCCAAATCACTGGACGATGTAACTGTTTAAATTGATAAGTTATGCTGTCTTTGTTTACTTTTTGTTTATGCATAAAATACCTAGCTAAATCAAAATGCCAGAATCTCTTGCTTTGGAGAAGAATTTTATGGAGGATGATAGTTGCAGAATTTTCTTCAGTATTCTTAGCTGAGTCAATAGGTTAGTGGAGTTACTATATTTTTTTGAAATATACCTGTATTTTCTGAAGTTATTCTATTCCTGTAAAAATCACAGGTCTTTAGAACCATAGTTTTATTTATTAAATAAAGGGTTTGAGTTGGTCAGTGTGGTATATGCTTATAATACCAGCACTTTGGGAGGCTGAAACAGCAGGATCATAAGTTTGAGTCCTGCTGGAGAAATTTATCCAGACCCGGTCTCCAAAAAAAAAGTTAATGCAGCCAGTTCGTGCTGGTTAACAATAATTAGGTCAGTGACAGTGAAAGTATTAGAGATCAAGTGCCTAAACTGCAACTCAAAACTCACTTATTTAGCACAAATGGTGAACACTGCGATTAAACCTGAATACTCAGTTGCTGGGGTGATGCTGGGGTGACTTGGCTCACGTTCTGACACAGAGGACTCTGTGTGCCATAGGTTCACTACTGCTGATTTATGTTTTCAATTCCTTGGGATCTAGTAAACAGTGTGGCTTTGTTCTTTGGGTAGGGAAAGAAGAAGGCCTTTAGGCCCAAGGGTATGGGATTTTTTTTTATTGTGCTTGGTATTTCCAGGGAATTTTTAACTCTTTGCTGATACATTGATTGCCATTTGTAGTTGAATTTGGATTTTCAGAATGGAATAATACGCGTTTTAAGAAATGCTAATCTCTCTACTTATTACTAATGTAGGTAAATCTCATTTATTACAGTTAAATCATTTCATGGTTATATACAGTAGGTAATTGTAATGGTATGTTGTAGGCATTAGACTGTCAAATATATCACTATATCATGCATATGGTGGTATACTATATTTCACCTTTGTCATTTTACTTTATTATTTTGTGTATGATAGAATTTTGATGACTTCAGGGGATCTAAGGGTTTGTTAAATTTTACTTCAAAAAGTTATGAGTGAGGCTGAGGATTTAGGTCAGTGGTTCTGCCACCTGTCTCCCAAGCGCAAGGTCCTGAGTTCAATCTCCGGTACCAAAAATAACAACAACAACAACAAAACAAAAAAATTCATGAGTGAAAGATTTTAATTTATAATTTTGGCAAAAGTATACCAAAAGTAATAAAAAACATTTTTAGAGTCATACTCTGAAACATTAAAGGTAAGTACTTGGTGATGAGTACGTGCAAATCTATGAAAATGACTAAGAAGAACTTGACTGAATTTAAGAAAGGAGTGTCAAGTTTAATGATAAGGATACATATTAAAATTAATATCCAGACCTATGTTTTTTATGCCATATAGTAAATCAACTGCATTGATTAGACAAAGTGAATTCTAAATAAATTGTTATTTGATTGATTCAGTCCTAAATACTCAAAATTTTTCTATTTTCTTAAGATTATAAATGCTTTTCTGGTATATAAACAGATAGGCTGCCACCACAAACTGTTGCTTGCTTTGTTTAGATAAGCAGCACTTGCTTAGACTCTTATTTTAATACTAGTAAGCAAAATAAAAAAGCCTACAAAAACCCTATTACCAATAGACCATTTAGCATTTTTCACTTTCTATGTTTCTTATTAAAATTACCTTATAGTTAAAATTAAAATTTGGTAAATCATAGAAGTAGACTTACAGTTTTCTTTTTAAGATAGGTACCAAGAACTTCTCCATATAAGTATGTATAAGATATACTTAGTATACTGTGGTGAGTTTTCTCAAACAGCCATTGAATACATAGAGTTTAGAAAAGTATCAGTAACATTGTACTGTGAAATATCAAGAATACAGTATTTCTGTACTAATTCTTTTTTTCTTCTTCTTTCTTTGCTGACTCTTCCATTGGATATTTATAACTTCTCCACCTCCACTTGTATTTTGATGTGGGCATCTTGTACTCTTAAAATCTTGAAAGTGAGCACACATATACCCTTAATCTCCAGATCCCAGATTTATTCTGTTTCTTCTGATAAAACACATGATTGTTACTCAGACTGTTCTTTTGCTCCTGAAAATGACTTGACCTTAGAAAAACATAATTCTCAGAACTTATCAGTATATCCCTCTGAAGATGATATTGAGAAATCAGTTATTTTTAATCAAGATGGTACTATGACCGTTGAGATGAAAGTTCGATTCAAAATAAAAGAAAAGGAAACTATAAAGTGGACAACTACTGTCAATAGAACAGGTCTTTTAAATAATGATGAAAAGAGTGAGATAAGCAGTTTTTCAGGAAGAACAGATGATCAATCATCCAGTTTAAAGCTTGCAGCATGTTCATTGTCTGCAGGTGTCTCAGGCAGTAATCAAGAGGGAACTTTGGCAGAGGAAATAAAAACTCAAATGACAGATCAAGATACTGAAACTTGCAGCACTGCTAGATGGGAGAATCCTGCAGTGGACACAGATATTATTAAGGGAACTCAGGCTCATGTGAAGAATCATTTTTATAGGCCCCCTACACCTGGACCAAGGAGAGTGAGACAAAAGAAATCTGTGATAGGGAGTATGACCTTAGTATCTGAAACAGAATTTCAAGAGAAACAGTTTTCCTATAGTGAAAAAAGAGAAGGTGGGGAAAACAAATCAGAGTATCATATGTTTGCGCATTCTTGTAGTAAAATGTCATCATTATCTAACAAACCTGTACTTGTTCAGACCAATAACAATGAGCAGATGGAATCACCTTTAGAAGCAATAAAGGAGAGCAAACTCCTCAGGTCAAGTGCTATAAGTGCTGGTGTGATAGAAATTACAAGTCAGAAGATGTTAACGACGTCCCATAATAATGGCTTGTCATCAGCTATATCTGAGAACTCAGCTGTGGAGAAAGGTGTAGTTGAGAGTGTAATATCAGGCAATAAAACTGATATCAAGAACTTTAGAACTTATGATAATACAAATGATAGGTTCAGTCCTGTTTCAGCAGAGGTGAGTCATTCTTCAAGTGATAACTCTGGATCTGACAAAAATATTTCTGAGGCTCCAGCTTCAGTAGGATCCTCTACTGAAACCACAAGAATCGATAGACTAATTAATGAATTTGCACAGTGTAGTTTAACAGAACCTCCAGAGAATGGAAAGCAGATCTTGTCACCTGTTGCCAGCAGAAGGAAGAAGAAGAAATCTCAACAGAAAATGACCAACTCCAGGTATCAAGATGGGGAAATTGTAACCAAAAGAATCTCAAAGAAGAATAAGAGAATGAACACAGAAGGTACAATTGCACAGGAAACCATATCACAAGATTCAGACTGTTCCTTTAAAGGGAGGATACTCTGTGCAGAAGATCTGCATACAATTGGTATGGTAATTAAATTGAATCATTTTAATACCAAAAGTAATCTCAATCCTACAGTTTCCAAGAATTTTCATAGATTTAAATTAAATAATATTCAGAATCTTAAGGTTAAAGGACTTGTAGGCAAGAGAAAATCCAGTCCACTAAAGAAAATAAGCTTAGGAGCACCTAAAAAAAGAGAAAGTAGTGAAGGAGATAAAGTATTTCCCCATTATGAATCTAAGTATTACAAAAATATTTCAGAAAATCAAAGTTTATTTCATATGTTTAACTTCCTTGAGCAAAATCAAAGAGCTTTTTCTAGACCACAATCTCATGCAGAAGTGGCTTCTGGGAATTTGAGAGGAATGGCAAAAATGAGCTTAGTTCCAAAATGTAATGATTCACACATAGCTTTAAAAAGCCAGAAAAAGCAAAAAGGAGATAAATTGAAGTCAGGTGCTATTGCAAGTAAACAGTATGCTGAAACCAGGGAAAATTCTTTAGCTTCTTTGAAAAAAGCTGATTTTTCTGAGGATATGGACCATCTTTCAGAAAATTATATACAGAGATGGTTACAGAACATAAATCTGTATCCAACTTTAAAACCTAGAAAATCAACATTAATAGGCAAAAATAAAAGGATTGTAGCAAATTATAACAATAGTGGTTTCCTAGGAACTAATCTCCATACAAATTCTGTAAAAGGAAATGATTTTGTTATAGAAAGTAGTAATCTCCTAACTAAAAATGCCGGTTTGACAGGAGATAATCGGTGTAAAGGAGTGGGTAAATCTCTTAGTGGTGAAGAATTTAACAAAGATCTTTATGACAGCCAAGTTGGATCTCTGAATGATGCTTGTTTAGTTTCCCTGCATGAATGTTGTACTTTGTCACAGTCAACTATTAATGATCATACTACTGAAAGTCAGGTATCCTCTGAAAAGTCAGGACCAGAGGCAAGCCTTATTTACCATGAAATAAATCTAGCTACAAAAGGGCAAAGTGTAGAGGCTTCCATTCAAGTAGATCCCATGGAAGAGAATACTTCCAAAGACCTCTTACCAGTTCTGTTGCTTCAACAACTGCAGGCTTCAATTTCCAGCATTCAGAAGACTCAGAATGGAGTTGTTCAAATGCCAGGGTCACTTGTAAATGTTCCCTCTTCTTCTGTGATATGCAGTTCATCTGCTAATCTCCTTCTTGCTTGGCTTTTGGTGTTAAATCTAAAGGGAAGTATGAGTAGCTTCTGTCAGGGTGATGCTCATAAGATTACCAATAGTTCTTTGGAAATACTTACATTATTGGAGGTGCTAAAGCACATTGCCAACATAGAGGAAGCTGATGGCTTGAAAGCTGCTATTGCCAGTTTAGTGGATTCCACCACAA